TCTCTGACATTGTACCACAAGGTTCCATATCACAAAGGGAAGGCTGGGATTGAGTTTGGGGATAATTGCCCCAAACTTGTAGGAATTAGGGGCCAAAAAAGGACAAAAAACAAGCATTTTTCTAGTTTCCAGACAATAACTTGTGTTTAAGTGTATGGATCTCTCAGAAATTGTACTACAAGGTTCCATACTACAAAGGGAAGGATGGGATTGAGTCTTGGGGGTAATTGCTCCAAGGGGGGTTTCCAAAGGTTTTTTTGGGGTGGGGGGATTTTTTTTCCAATTTTTTTAAGGAATTCAAATTTTTTTTCAAAAATTTTCAATATTTTGTGTCAGAAACCTTTATTATGTCAAAAATTTGATCACAATCAAAATTCAGACAGTATCAAACTTGAATATTGTATCCAAAGGAGTAGGTCCGGTAAAGGCCGATTTTGGCCTCAAAATTCAAGTTCATCTGATGAAAGATTTTGGACACTTTTTAAACACTGAAGCGTCTACTTCAGTCGATTCAATCAGTTTATGTGAAAGATTTGAACTGATTTAGTCATTAAAGATGCTCAAATTCAAGCTTCAATATGAAAAATCTATAAAATATGCCATAATATGTCACTTTTCAGATGGTTTTTATACGACCGCAAAAAATTTTAGCGGTCGTATATTGGTATGACGTCGTCGTCGTCGTCGTCTGGCGTCGTCCGGCGTCGTCTGAAGACACATTAGTTTTCGCACTCTAACTTTAGTTTAAGTGAATGGATCTCTATGAAATTTTACCATAAGGTACAATACCACAAAAGGAAGGTGGGGATTGATTTTGGGGGTTATGGTACCAACAGTTAAGGAATTAGGGGCCAAAAAGGGGCCAAAAATAAGCATTTTTGTAACTTCCAGACATAACTTGTGTGTTAGTGTATGAATCTCTCTGACATTGTACCACAAGGTTCCATATCACACAGGGAATGCTGGGACTGATTTTGGGGGTAATTGCCTCAGAATATTAGGAATTAGGGGCCAAAAAAGGGGCAAAAAACAAGCATTTTTCTAGTTTCATGACAATAACTTGTGTGTAAGTGTATGGATCTTTCTGAAATTGTACTACAAGGTTCCATATCACAAAGGGAAAGCTGGAATTGAGTTTGGAGGTAATTGCCCAAAATGTTTAGGAATAAGGGGCCAAAAATAAGCATTTTTCTAGTTTCCAGACAATAACTTGTGTTCAAGTGTATGGATCTCTCTGAAATTGTACCACAAGGTTCCATATCACACAGGGAATGCTGGGATTGATTTTGGGGGTAATTGCCTCAAAATTTTAGGAATTAGGGGCCAAAAAAGGGGCAAAAAACAAGCATTTTTCTAGTTTCATGACAATAACTTAATTGTGTGTAAGTGTATGGATCTTTCTGAAATTGTACTACAAGGTTCCATATCACAAAGGGAAAGCTGGAATTGAGTTTGGGGGTAATTGCCCAAAACGTTTAGGAATAAGGGGCCAAAAAGGGTGCAAAAATAAGCATTTTTCTAGTTTCCAGGCAATAACTTGTGTTCAAGTGTATGGATCTCTCTGAAATTGTACTGCAAGGTACCATACCACAAAGGGAAGGCTGGGATTGATTTTGGGGGTAATTGCCTAATCTAACCGTGTATTTAGATTCTTTATTTTTGGTCCCGTTTTCAAATTGGTCTACATTAAGGTCCAAAGGGTCCAAAATTAAATTTAGTTTGATTTTAACAAAAATTGAATTCTTGGGGTTCTTTGATATGCTGAATCTAAACATGAACTTAGTTTTTTGATTATGGGCCCAGTATTCAAGTTGGTCCAAATCGGGGTCCAAAATTAAACTTTGTTTGATTTCAACAAAAATTGAATATATGGGGTTCTTCGATATGCTGAATCTAACCATGTATTTAGATTTTTGATATTTGGGCCCGGTTATCAAATTGGTCCACATTGAGGTTTAAAGGGTCCAAAATTGAACTTTATTTGATTTCATCAAAAATTGAATTCTTGGGGTTCTTTGATATGCTGAATCTAACCATGTATTTAGATTTTGGATATTGGAATACCACAAAGGGATGGTGAGAATTGTCTTTGGGAGTTATGGCTCAAACCGTTAAGGAATAAGGTGCAAAAAAGGGGGGGGGGGGGGGGGGGAAAGGGTTTCCAGGTTAATGGACAATTACTTAAGTACAAAACATAATTTTAAAGGCAGTGTAAGGTTGGTAATTGAAACTCATTTGAATATCTCACCTAAACTGCTTTTAAGTTATGTATATTGGAAATTTGCCAAAAACTTTATTATTAATAAATTCCATTGGAAATTTGCCAATAACTTTAGTTTAATGAACTTCATTGGAAATTTGCCAATATAAAATGTTGCTGATGAAGCGTTTTTGTTTATCTCACCTAAACTGCTTTTAAATTATGTATATTGGAAATTTGCCAAAAACTTTATTATTAATAAATTCCATTGGAAATTTGCTAATAACTTTAGTTTAATAAACTTCATTGCATTTTTTCTAGTTTCCAGACAATAACTTGTATGTAAGTGTATGGATCTCTCTGAAATTGTACTGCAAGGTACCATACCACAAAGGGAAGGCTGGGATTGATTTTGGGGGTGATGAATCATAAGGGGGTTCACAAAATTGGGGGGGGGGGATTTTTTTTTTTTCATTTTTTTTCTTTTTTTCCTATTTTTTTTCTTTTAAAATTTTCTTTTCCATTTTGAGTTGGTTATTTCTGTTTTATATTTAAAAGCAAATAATAATGATATGGTAGGAGATACACACCAAACAGGATGTGTAAATTATTATATAATAAGTATTGTGCAATAGCAAGAAATTTTCAATTACACAGTATTGCACAATAGCAAGAAATCTTCAATTGCACAGTATTGCGCAATAGCAAGAAATCTTCAATTGCACAGTATTGTGCAATAGCAAGAAATATCCAATAGCACAATATTGCGCAAGAGCAAGAAATTGTCAATTGTACAGTATTGCGCAATAGCAAGAAATATTCAATTGCACAGTATTGTGCAAAAGAAGATACTTCATATAAATTGCTTATTTCTTGACCAATTTCAATTGGGTTTTATTCTTGAATTCTTGGGGTTCTTTAATATGCTGATTCTAACCGTGTATTAAGTTTTTGGATTTTGGGCCCCGTTTTTAAATTGGTCCACATTGAGTTCCAAAGGGTCCAAAATTAAACTTTGTTTGATTTCATCAAAAATTGAATTATTGGGGTTCTTTAATATGCTGATTCTAACCGTGTATTAAGTTTTTGGATTTTGGGCCCCGTTTTTAAATTGGTCCACATTGAGTTCCAAAGGGTCCAAAATTAAACTTTGTTTGATTTCATCAAAAATTGAATTATTTGGGTTCTTTGATATGCCGAATCTAACCGTGTATTTAGATTCTTAATTTTTGGTTCCGTTTTCAAATTGGTCTACATTAAGGTCCAAAGGGTCCAAAATTAAACTTTGTTTGATTTCATCAAAAATTGAATTATTGGGGTTCTTTGATATGCCGAATCTAACCGTGTATTTAGATTCTTAATTTTTGGTTCCGTTTACAAATTGGTCTACATTAAGGTCCAAAGGGTCCAAAATTAAACTTAGTTTGATTTTAACAAAATTTGAATTCTTAGGGTTCTTTGATATGCTGAATCTAAACATGTATTTAGATTTTTGATTATGGGCCCAGTTTTCAAGTTGGTCCAAATCGGGGTCCAAAATTAAACTTTGTTTGATTTCAACAAAAATTGAATATATGGGGTTCTTTGATATGCTGAATCTAACCATGTATTTAGATTTTTGATTTTTGGGCCCCATTATCAACTTTGTCCACATTGAGGTCAAAAGGGTCCAAAATTAAACTTTGTTTGATTTCATCAAAAATTGAATTCTTGGGGTTCTTTGATATGCTGAATCTAACCATGTATTTAGATTTTGGATATTGGACCATAATAGGTGAATTTCCAATTTAAAATTTTTAAGTTCTTAGACCACATTCATTCTGTGTCAGAAACCTATGCTGTGTCAAATATTTAATCACAATCCAAATTCAGAGCTGTATCAAGCTTGAATGTTGTGTCCATACTTGCCCCAACTGTTCAGGGTTCGACCTCTGCGGTCGTATCAAGCTGCACCCTGCGCAGCATTTTATTGTCAAATATGAAAGTGGCGGCATCCGTGTTCATTCTCAACCTTTATATATGTTATGTAGTATCATCAAATACAACTTACATTTAAATATTAAGAATGAACACAAATGCGGCCACTTCCATTTCAGATGGAAACTGTCTAAAAATTAACCAAAATGCAAAAATTTCGAAGATTTCAGTAATTTAGCATGACTTAATGATGCTAGTACCCGATACATGTGCATTGTATTGTCAAAAACAGCCCATATTTATGTAACAGAATTATTCTCCTTTCCAATAAGTAGCTAAAAATTTACATTTTAACAATTTTGTAAAACTGCTATATTTTGGGGCCAAAAAGGGGTCTTACTGGGCCTACTCCTTTGCCCCAACTGTTCAGGGTTGGACCACTGCGGTCGTATCAGGCTGCGCTCAGCGAAGCATTTTATTTTATACTAAATATTGTTCAACCACGTTTTATATATGGGGAAAATTACACACATGACCTCCTCAGCTCCTGCCAAAAGCGACGGTTTTAGAGAATTCGAACACTTAAATTCGGGCCAAGAGTTAACTCCCTTGAAACTGTATTGGATGTCCTTAAATGTCACTTGTAAACCCTAATTGTTGTGTAGACAAGGTATCAACTGATTGATTGTAAAACATGCACCTGTTGATCATTGGGTCAATTGTCACTATGGCCCTACACTGGCCTCTAGGTACAATTGAAAATTATAACCATAAAACTCATTTGGAAGTAGTGATTTATAAAAAAAAAAGTAGTGATATGTTTATTTTGTCAATTTCAGGTATATTATGGTTTATTTAGAAATATTAATGTTGTCTATTTCAGGATTTTGATGGTTTATAGATAATCTATTTGCAATGATTGACCTATTCAAGATCAAAGAAGACTTCTCCTTTATGGTTAAAGAGGCAGAGCCATGGACATTAACACAGTTTGTCATGTGGCTAGATTTGAAACTATCTGAGTTTAAAACCAAGGGATACATGGTGTTAGGTAATCTGTAATATTTACTTATTGTTGTCAGGTTATATACCATGTATACCTACATCTTAAAATGTGAATTGTTGCACAACATGCACAAAGGTTTGAGAATATATACATAAATACATTTGTATTCAAAATTCATCTTAACTATCATAGCTAGTACATTAGATTTGGAAATAGTAACACTGAAACAAATTTTGTTTAGAATCAAAACAAGAGAGTATAGAAATTATTTTTGTCACATATACATTGTACATTGAATAAGAATAAGGAAAGCAAATTTATACTGGCACTTCATATAAAAGTCAGTGTTCCAGCTAGGTCGTTTTCACAGGGCGGTCCGCCCGCCCTTTCCCGAGTGCCACCCTGTGCCCTTTTTACAGTTTGCAGGGCGCCCTGCCTTTTTATACGACCGCAAAAATTGAAAATTTTTTGGTCGCATATTGGTATGACGTTGGCGTCGTTGTCGTCGTCGTCGTCGTCGTCTGGCGTCGTCCGAAGACACATTGGTTTTCGCACTCTAACTTTAGTTTAAGTGAATGGATCTCCATGAAATTTTACCATAAGGTTCAATACCACGAAAGGAAGGTTGGGATTGATTTTGGGGGTTATGGTACCAACAGTTAAGGAATTAGGGGCCAAAAAGGGGCCAAAAATAAGCATTTTTGTAACTTCCAGACAATAACTTGTGTGTAAGTGTATGGATCTCTCTGACATTGTACCACAAGGTTCCATATCACAAAGGGAAGGCTGTAATTGATTTTGGGGGTAATTGCCTCAAAATTTTAGGAATAAGGGGCCAAAAAAGGGGCAAAAAACAAGCATTTTTCTAGTTTCATGACAATAACTTGTGTGTAAGTGTTTGGATATTTCTGAAATTGTACTACAAGGTTCCATATCACAAAGGGAAAGCTGGAATTGAGTTTGTGGGTAATTGCCCGAAACGTTTAGGAATAGGGGGCCAAAAAGGGGCCAAAAATAAGCATTTTTCTAGTTTCCAGACAATAACTTGTGTTCAAGTGTATGGATCTCTCTGAAATTGTACTGCAAGGTACCATACCACAAAGGGAAGGCTGGGATTGAGTTTGGGGGTGATGAATCATAAGGGGGTTCAAAAAATTTGGGGGGGGGGATTTTTTTTTTTTCTAATTTTCCATTTTAAGTTGGTTATTTCTGATTAATATTTAAAAGCAAATAATAATGATATGGTAGGAGATACACACCAAACAGGATGTGTAAATTATTATATAATAAGTATTGTGCAATAGCAAGAAATTTTCAATTGCACAGTATTGCACAATTGCAAGAAATCTTCAATTGCACAGTATTGCGCAATAGCAAGAAATCTTCAATTGCACAGTATTGCGCAATAGCAAGAAATATCCAATAGCACAATATTGCGCAATAGCAAGAAATTGTCAATTGTACAGTATTGCACAATAGCAAGAAATATTCAATTGCACAGTATTGTGCAAAAGAAGATACTTCGTATAAATTGCTTATTTCTTGATCAATTTCAATGGGGTTTTATTCTTGAATTCTTGGGGTTCTCAATATGCTGAATCTAACCAAGTATTAAGTTTTTGGATTTTGGGCCCCGTTTTTAAATTGGTCCACATTGAGGTCCAAAGGGTCCAAAATTTAACTTTGTCTGATTTCATCAAAAATTGAATTATTGGGGTTCTTTGATATGCCGAATCTAACTGTGTATTTAGATTCTTAATTTTTGGTTCCGTTTTCAAATTGGTCTACATTAAGGTCAAAAGGGTCCAAAATTAAACTTAGTTTGATTTTAACAAAAATTGAATTTTTAGGGTTCTTTGATATGCTGAATCTAAACATGTATTTAGATTTTTGATTATGGGCCCAGTTTTCAAGTTGGTCCAAATCGGGGTCCAAAATTAAACTTTGTTTGATTTCAACAAAAATTGAATATATGGGGTTCTTTGATATGCTGAATCTAACCATGTATTTAGATTTTTGATTTTTGGGCCCCATTATCAACTTTGTCCACATTGAGGTCAAAAGGGTCCAAAATTAAACTTTGTTTGATTTCATCAAAAATTTAATTCTTGGGGTTCTTTGATATGCTGAATCTAACCATGTATTTAGATTTTTTATTTGTGGACCCGCTATCAAATTGGTTCATATTGAGGGCAAAAGGGTCCAAAATTAAACTTTGTTTGATTTCATCAAAAATTGAATTATTGGGGTTCTTTGATATGCCAAATCTAACCGTGTATTTAGATTTTTAATTTTGGGTCCCGTTTTTAAATTGGTCTACATTAAGGTCCAAAGGGTCCAAAATTAAACTTAGTTTGATATTAACAAAAATTGAATTCTTGGGGTTCTTTGATATGCTGAATCTAAACATGTGTTTAGATTTTTGATTATGGGACCAGTTTTCAAGTTGGTCAAAGTTGGGGTCCAAAATTAAACTTTGTTTGATTTCAACAAAAATTGAATATATGGGGTTCTTTGATATGCTGAATCTAAACATGTATTTAGATTTTAGATTTTTGGCCCAGTTTTCAAGTTGGTCCAAATTGGGGTCCAAAATTAAACTTTGTTTGATTTCAACAAAAATTGAATATATGGGGTTCTTTGATATGCTGAATCTTACCATGTATTTAGATTTTTTATTTTGTGGGCCTGCTATCAAATTGGTTCATATTGAGGTCAAAAGGGTCCAAAATTAAACTTTGTTTGATTTCATCAAAAATTGAATTATTGGGGTTCTTTGATATGCCAAATCTAACCGTGTTTTTAGATTTTTAATTTTGGGTCCCGTTTTTTAAATTGGTCTACATTAAGGTCCAAAGGGTCCAAAATTAAACTTAGTTTGATTTCAACAAAAATTGAATTCTTGGGGTTCTTTGATATGCTGAATCTAAACATGTGTTTAGATTTTTGATTATGGGACCAGTTTTCAAGTTTGTCCAAGTTGGGGTCCAAAATTAAACTTTGTTTGATTTCAACAAAAATTGAATATATGGGGTTCTTTGATATGCTGAATCTAACCATGTATTTTGATTTTGGGCATTGGACCATAATAGGTAAATTAAAAAAATTGAAGTTCTTAGACCACATTCTTTCTGTGTCAGAAACCTATGCTGTGTCAAATATTTAATCACAATCCAAATTCAGAGCTGTATCAAGCTTGAATGTTGTGTCCATACTTGCCCCAACTGTTCAGGGTTCGACCTCTGCGGTCGTATCAAGCTGCGCCCAGCGAAGCATTTTATTTGAAGATCGATTGGTATATTATTTTGTTCGTATTGATATGATCAGCCAATTACGAAAATTTACCTGGAGACAAGTATATGACTTTGTTTACGACCCCAAGCTAATCAACGGTTACAACAGGTGTCATAATCTGTTGTTATAGGTAATCCGTTTATCGGATGGGTCATTTAATGATCATCAACATTAATTCATTCAAATAGAATCGGTCAGTCGGCATCTGTCTTTGAACTTGAAGAAATGTTCATACAACTTGGGCAATGTTTACCATAGTTTCATGGAGAAAACGTAATTGACAGAAAGTCGAAAACCATAATCAACTCGTTAAAAACATTGCTATTATTGTTTTCCGTGAAATAAATAGCAAATTAAGACGTATTTTTCAATGACTGCCTTCATTTTTTATACGAAAATAACAAAATCGGCCGCCATATTGTTGATCGTATTTACATCTTCTACGTACATGTACTGTTTATTATCCTCCAAAGAAGGAGCACACCCAAATAAAGAAAGATAACTCAATCTTATTTTTTCCTAGCATTGAGTAACCTACTAAGATACATGTATTATAAAATATGTCTTCATACTTCTGGCTTTAGAATTTATATGTTTAGGTGTTTTGAGTTATGGGAAAAGTTAAAGAGGGTCTTAGTAGCAGGGTTGGTAGGGTGCCTTGGTCATCTTTTTCTTTATTTTTTATTTTCAATCCAAATTTTCACTGTTCACTATATCCTAACATTGTGCATTTACAGCTGTTTTGTGCTGTATTGCCATTAAGCACAGAAAAGGTAGAAAGGTTAAACTTGTAAAGTGTGTCAGACCATAGAAACAGAATGAAGCAGGACATTTTTCAAACAATACTGCATATAAAGCTTAACTGTGCCAAGCAATGATTTAAAACTTGTGTGACAAGCTGCTTGACAAGTTTTCAGCCTAAAAAGTAGAAAGATAGTTTTTCTCTGGGCTTATGATGTTGTTCTTGTATATATAAAACCAGTGATTCAATGAACAAAAAATGTTTGATTATAATCTTTATTAAAACATGCCCTTTTCATATTATTATATCACGCATTAAATGCCCTTTTTCAGGATTGGCACCCTGCCCTTTTGAAATGTTAGCTGGAACACTGAAAAGATATTTGGGTCACAGTGTTTTCCGTAGGCATTAATTTCGGCAGCTATGCTTCCAGCTACATGAAAAATATTATCTGCTGTGTATATTTATTATTCATAATTGATAGACATGTAATTTGTAAACAAGACATGACAAGTGACAAACGCAAAAGCAAAAGGTGATCACGTGTTTTGAATCTCAACCAACTGACAATTGGCAACACATCACATGCTGGACATTTACAACCTCGTTCGTGATATATTTCTAGTGTCCCCATTTAAATGATAAATTAGGAAGGATAACAGCTCCTACATGTCTCCACGTTGAGTAAGTTTAAACATTTTCTCCTGGACACTGGAGGTTTGATATCGAGATTTAATCTTAAAAAACCTGATATTTAAAATATTTTAACACAAATATTGTGTTCTAAAGAAACATCAGAAAAAGGTGAAAATACAAATATAAATTATTTTCCTAACTGTTTAGGAATTAGGGGCCAAAAACAAGCATTTTTCTTGTTTTAGGACAATAACTTGTGTATAACATGTATAAGTGTATGGATCTCTATGAAATTTTACCACAAATTTTGTATCGTAATTCTGAATTCCTTTCGAAGTTTCCAATCAAATTATTGAGAAGGCAATCAAATTTT